ACTCGGGAAAAAAAGCCTGATTTGATTAGTTTCGAACCCGGGTCCCCTGTCATGGGAGCCAAGAAAGCCACCAACCGAGCCATTCCACAACCTTCGCACCCCTCTGTGACGTCACAAGGATGCGCTTTCCTAAACTCGTCTCCCGCGTACGTTAACGACTATTTGCCGGTGCGTGATAGGAAAACGATTCGAATTGGACCGATCGGGTCGGGTTCGAAAAAGTTCACCCGTGCAGGCCTCCGGCGGACAGACTATTTTCGGCTATTATCTAGATACCGGGTGGCCCAAAAAAAGCGTCCCGAACTTCGTGGGTCTACAGACAGGACACCGTGCTTAGCATCGTCTTGAAATTTTCTTAGACATACCCAACATGTGTAGGTGGCTTCAGGAAAATTTCAATAAGATTCCTTGCCCTGGACATGTGTAAGTGCTCTTTCCAATATAAGTCGTCAAACGAGCAAGTGTGTCAGTGCGCTTGCCGGCGGGCCGCCGTGGCGGGAGATCGGAGGACACATCCATGGAGGATCCGTCGAGCAGTTCTTTCGTTGAGGTCAGGCGCGTTTCTTTGCGCACTCGCTCTTTTGACATCGCGCGGGAGAGAAGTTGTTGCTCATGTAGTATATCTCAAATTCTCATGAAATTTTTGTGTACATAACCTGTAAACATTGCATGTGAAAGCCTGCGAATTTCCTGTCGATAACTCATGTACACCGTCTGCAGGCGTGTTTGCAAGTTTGGGACTTTTGTTTGGGCCACTCGGTATATAAATAGTCGAAAGCCCGTGAACACACGGGGCGATTAAACGGGGAATTTCGATTTTGTTTGCCAGATGACGATTGCTGGAAAAAAAAAATATTCCTGGATGGAACAAAATCAGTTATACGCACTTTGTAACTGCTCCCAGGCCCAGCCCATGCCCATTACCTTCTATACAGCTGATCGTATTCGGAATCTGTCTCATTTGCTCAGCGTGGGCGGGAACGTTCGGCCTCGGCACGCGGAAGATAAGAGGGATCGAAATCAATCAGAAATCAATTCGCTTTCTCCTATGATCTTCGGCGCGAGGGCATTACCCAGCTGTTTCTCTGTTGATAATTTTGTGCCGTGATAATAACATTCTTTTTGAGGAAAAACACTGAAAATGTTGATTTAAGAAATTGTTATATGCCCGTAAGGGCCCAGAGGGACTGCACTAAAACGCAATCAGGCAGACATGAGCATGCGCAACATACACGCAATATCAGTCGCAACGATATCCTATGTGTCAATACTCTATTATTGGTAAGCGATTCGGTCTACGTCAATGTTGATATGAAACACAGTTCAACGTTGATACGATCAGAAGTCCAAATTAGAGAACTGATACCCTACGGTAGTCTTGAGGCAGTTATCTAGACTACAGAGATGGCGCCAGTGCACTCTCAACTCAGATTGACCCCAGCAGGATCAAATGTCAACATATTTGCAATATAAAAACGAATTCTAGCAGAGGAGATCAATGGCTTTTGAATGATATTGATACTGGAATTTGGATCCAAAATTAATATGGAAGGTCATTCGGGTCAGGTCAAAGGTTAACTGAGAAGAAAAAAACTAAAATGAATTTGATTATCTACGAAAAAATAGAAACCTCGTTGGTGAAATTTGGTTGAGAAACCTTGGAGGAGTTCACCGGACAAAATCCGGTGAAACAGACATCTGCACCGGACCTTAGGAGAAGAGTTTTCTTCCTTTCCCTGTATTCACCTCATCATGATACTTGTAAAGCAGAATTTGGTAAAATAATAGTTTTCACGTTTCAACGGCAATCAATAATTCTGGAAAATTTTAAATGCTGAGGTTTTCTACCGGAACAGAGAAGTGTGAACCAACAGGTTAAGAGTGGTTTCTTTCCGAAAAATGAGTGACCAACTTTAAATAAACTGGGAACATTGTCACTGTAAAACAGAGTGGTCTTTTTCACTCAGTGTCCCCATGATAACTGGAAACGACACTGTTCATGAGATAGCTGGCACGTCCAAAACGAAATGGAGACGCTGTCCGCGTGTTATCGACAGCTCGCAGCCTGTCAGAGACGTGGTGCCGGATGATGGTGCCATTAAAGCTCTCTTCAAAGCTGATAATTGAGGTTTATGAGCAGGTTTTTAAACGCTCCTAAGCCTGAAATGAATAGAGATAAGAAAGGTACACATTTATACCTTATTTTGCTTCTGTACCTTTTCAACGAACGTATTTTACGACATACGTTTGTACCTCATAACGTAGGACATATGTACCTCACTGCACGTTTCTGCTTTGCTGCGTACCCATAGGAACGTATAGAATCTCAAGGGCATCCTATAGGATCATGTAGGTATCTTATAGATTTTTCACGTTTCAAAAACCAAAAACTGACTGTTTCGTAAAGGTCAACTTTGCAGACGAAGAAGCTGAGAAGATTGAGTAGAGTGCTTCATCCGTCTACATTTTCATGGTTTAAATGTATTTATTCATATTTACGTAGTTAGTAGAGTTTGGTATTAGCGTGCTAAGTACAACCATGAAGTCCCATGATCAAACAGAATTCCAATTTTGAAGGGAAGTTTTAAAGTCTCATGCAAGAAATGGCAATTTTTGACGCCGTGCAGCTGCCTACATTCGGAAACGAGATAGAGATGAGGAAATGCGTAATCTCAGTTGAAGCCCAGCTGTAGAAGTGAGATATTGTGCGATTCCCTGTTGTTTGCTTCCACTGTTCAATCACCCGTTCACCATTTTAAGACGTTTGGGGAACCTTAAAGACTGGCGAATCATCTTCTGAACTCTCCTCTTCGCCCACAAGAAAGCCGTAATATCGCACGTTCAATCTGCCTTCTTAGTCAGTGAAATATATTCAGAAGAATACTTTTTCGAATACTTAATATATATTCCATATACTCAGTATTCGAAAAAAGTAGAGTTGAGTTTCAAACAAGACGCTTGGCAAGATCTTGAATTTCGTTTCTTGCCGAGTCTCGATTAAATGTCCCCTACACTTAACACCCAGTAATTCGTCGATAAACTTTGAATATTGGCTTTTTTGTTAGGTTTTTGCTCTCCTCATTTTACCTGTCCAACCACATCTATGACATCATTGTCATCTTGACAAGATTTTGCTTTTTTATTCACAATATTTTTTCTTATCAACCCCAACCCTGAAAAAGTATTTGGGAGCAATTCATGCAACATTTAAGAAAATAAGAAAAGTCCTACTTCATTTGCAGTTAATTTAATTTTTTTTCAGTGGGTCTTAAATATCCTCCCGCAGGCAGTAACAGAAAATAATTGTTACTGCCGTACTTCAGGATCGCAGGAATCAAGGGGGGAATAATTTTGAAATGTTACACATTTAACATAACATGAACAGGCTTTTCATTTGGTTCTAAGACCATGGCCATTGTTTCGCAATGAGTTATACCATAGCAGTAGCGCTGCAAATAATGACGACATACGGTCTTGACATTGGTGTCTGACTTGTGGGGCTCGGCGATCATGTACGAGTTTTTTTAATATTGCTGTCAATGATCATATTTTGCTGTCGATGATCATGTTGACCGGTGAACATTCTCTGCCCTGCTGCACCTCTAATGCCAAAAGAGTATGTGCAACTCTCAAAGGATCTCGATATCAAACACAGTAGCATGATTTTTTAAACTTTTTTTAAACGAGAGATGGCGCTTCAATTACGCTCTTCAAAGAAGAAACAGGATAGACTTGGAAAAATTAGGAGTTTCTTAAAGTTAGGCCAAAAGTCTATCTGAATATCCAACCCACTCCTGAGACGTATATATTCAGCCCGAATTCAGATTCCGATTACCATGCATGATAGCTTGGTTCTCCAACATACCTGTAGGTTCATCCTCCATGGATAGCCAGAGTT